TAAGGCCTCTCTCCACTGTGAATTCTCATATGTGTAGTGAGGTCTGAGAAATGACAAAAGGCTTTCCCACATTCCTTACATTCATAAGGCCTCTCCCCACTGTGAATTCTCATATGTTTAGTTAAGTTTGAGGAGCAACTAAATGATTTGCCACATTCCTTACATTCATAAGGCCTCTCTCCACTGTGAGTTCTTATATGTGCAGTGAGGTGTGATGGCCAACTAAAGGCCTTTCCACATTCCTTACATTCATAAGGCCTCTCTCCGCTGTGAACTCTCATATGTGTTGTGAGGTCTGAGGAATGACGAAAGGCTTTGCCACATTCCTTACATTCATAAGGCCTCTCCCCACTGTGAATTCTCATATGTTTAGTTAAGTTTGAGGAGTAACTAAAGGATTTGCCACATTTCTTACATTCATAAGGCTTCTCTCCACTGTGAATTCTCATATGTTTAGTGAAGGCTGAAGAGCAACTGAAGGCTCTCCCACATTCCTTACATTCATAAGGCTTCTCTCCACTGTGAGTTCTTTTATGTGCAGTGAGGTGTGATGGCCAACTAAAGGCCTTCCCACATTCCTTACATTCATAAGGCCTCTCCCCATTATGAACTCTCATATGTTTAGTGAAGCTTGAAAAGCAACTAAAGGCTGTGCCGCATTTCTGACATTCATAAGGCTTCTCCCCATTGTGAATTCTCATATGTTTACTTAAGTTTGAGGAGCTACTGAAGGATTTGCCACATTCCTTACATTCAGAAGGCCTCTCTCCACTGTGCGTACTCATATGTCTAGTGAGGTGTGAGGAACGACGAAAGGCTTTGCCACATTCCTTACATTCATAAGGCCTCATCCCACTGTGAATTCTGATATGTTTGGTGAAGCTTAAAGAGCAACTAAAGGCTTTCCCACATTCCTTGCATTCATAAAGCCTCTCTCCACTGTGAGTACTCACATGTCTAGTGAGGTGTGACGAATGACGAAAGGCTTTACCACATTTGTTACATTTATAAGGCCTCTCCCCATTGTGAATCCTCATATGTTTACTTAAGTTTGAGGAGTAACTAAAGGATTTGCCACATTCCTTACATTCATAAGGCTTCTCTCCACTGTGAATTCTCATATGTTTAGTGAAGCTTGAGGAGCAACTAATGGCTTTCCCACATTCCTTACATTCGTAAGGTCTCTCTCCACTGTGAGTTCTTATATGTGCAGTGAGGTTTGATGGCCAACTAAAGGCTTTCCCACATTCCTTACATTCATAAAGCCTCTCTCCACTGTGAATTCTTATATGTTTAGTGAGGTGTGATGGCCAACTGAAGGCCTTCCCACATTCCTTACATTCATAAGGCCTCTCTCCACTATGAATTCTCATATGTGTAGTGAGGTGTGAGAAACGATGAAAGGCTTTGCCACATTCCTTACATTCATAAACCCTCTCTGCACTGTGAGTTCTCACATGTATAATGAGATCTGAGGACTGAGGAAGGGTGTTCCCACTTTCCTTACATTCATAGGGTTTCTCTCCAGTAAGAGTTCTCACAGGAGTGCTGAGGTGAGAGGGACAACTGCAGGCTTCTCCACATTCCTTACACTGAGAGGCATGGAATCCAGGGTGAGATCTCATATGATGCTTAAGTGAGGAGTGATCCATCAAACATTGTCCACACTCAAGGAATTCAGAAGGATATGCTTCTATAGTTCTTTTCAGCACAGAAAGATTTGGAATCTTGCTGAAGGTCTGTCCACACTGATTGTCTTCATTACTTACACAGAGGTTCTCTATCATACGCTGTCTGTCAAAAATAGGCAGCATGCTGTTGGATATAAATTTGTTACCATTTCACCATCACCATACACAGTAATCATGCATTTTTTTTTGCCCTGAATTGTCTCATGTTTCATAGATTAAATCATCTGGCAGAGATGCTACCATTATTTTCACTGTATTTTTAAAATATGGGGCTTTCTGATAATTGTATATAAGTGAAATATGTTTCAAATATTCAATATGACTCATATTTATGAAAATATTGTATTGTGAAACTTATGTGAACACATATAGCTGGTTTTATATATATATATAAGACACCTGGAGCCCTGGTGGCGCAATGATTAAGAGCTCAGCTGCTAACCAAAAGGCTGGCAGGTCGGCAGTTCAAATCCACCAGCTGCTCCTTGGAAACCCTATGGGGCAGCTCTACTCTGTCCTATAGGGTCACTATGAGTCGGAATCAACTTGACGGCAATGGGTTTGGTTTTTTGGTTTATAAGATACCTGGATGGCTCAAAGGGTTTGTGCTCGACTAGAACCTAAAGGTTGGTGATTCAATCCAACCTAGCAGCACTGCCATGAGTTGGAATAGACTCAATGGCACTGGGTTTGAGATGTACATCTATGTACGTATGTATGTATGTATATATACATATATATATGAGCCCTGGTGGTGCAGTGGTTAAGAGCTCAGATGCTAACTGAAAGGTGGGTGGTTCAAACCCACCAGCAGTTTTGCGGGAGAAAGATGTGGCAGTCTGCTTCCATAAAGATTACAGCCTTGGAAACCCTATAGGGAAGTTTTACTCTGTCCTATAGGGTTGCTATAAGTCGGAATCAACTTGACAGCATTTAGTTTACACACACACACACCCACCCACCCACACACAGAAGCAGATTGCCAGGTATTTCTCCCACAGAGCCACTAAGTAGGTTCGAATTGCCAATCTTTTGGTTAGCAGTCACGTGCTTAACCATTTGTGCTACCTGGGCTCCTTATAAATATTTTAATGCCATGATACCTTAAGCCTCTCTCCTGAAGCACTGCTAACTCTTAAGTGAATGACACTCACCTCACATGTGTTTTCTGGTTGTTATCCTGATCTTCAATACCATGCAATTCACAGATTTCTCCAACCATGGAGGAGCAGGTGTCATTTTTCATGAATTGTACTATCCTATTTTCAGTGGATAGCTTTTCTCCAACATTAATGTTTTGAGAAACTGATCCAAGGATTTAAGTTGAGGTTCACAATATGAAACAAAAAGGAATGAAATTATTCAGAGGGAAAAGGTAGCTGTGAGAAAAAAAAGACTTTAACACATTTCACTGTGTCATTACTTTGGCAATGGTCAAAAAGCAATTTACTAGGAAATAGTTCCATGAAGGCGGGAGAGTGATGGTGACATAAATGGGGTATAATTAGACAAGCATAGTAGAGAGGTACTGGACACAATGCATGTGGAACATTAAAAAGAGGAAAAGGGGACAGTCTTTCTCCATGAACACAAGCGTGTTAGGACTGATGAAAGTCAGAAAAGTTCAAGTATCTGTGAACTACATACTCCTCAACCCAAAAGAGACTTTTTCTAATTAATTTATTCAAATCTCATTCCTTCTATGCAGGTCTGGTCCTTCAAAGGATTCTTGCTTCCTAGTGCCCCTGACACAGTGGTCCTGTGATGAGTGCTATTTACACTCTCTTCAGGTGTTCCTCTTGCTACTCTGTGAGAACGAGTGGGTGCAGCTAACATGGTGCTCACGGAGAAAGGCATATCACGAGGGAAGACAGGGAAGCGCAAGGAACACTTCCCAGACACTGAGCCAATACTTTGGTCTTCAGGGTCTCTGGAAATGGGCAAGTGTAAACTTATTTGCAGCAAAATAATCATGTCAAACTTGTAATAAACACAGTAAGACTCTTTACAAGGTCCTAGACCACAACTATTCTCTCTGTGCACCAAAGAAACTCCTGAAGTCAATGCTCACACTTACATTTAAAGGGCCTTAAAGCTTTTAACCAACATTGAAATGAGAAGCCAGTTTAATACACAAAGCTTTGTATTCATGAGGAAGACAGGATATGCATGCTCCAGAGAGCAAATGACCATACATGTCTTACTTAACAATGTATTCCCATTCCTCAGCCCACATACTGGCGTAACATCGATAAGTATGACATATTTGGTCACTAAAAAATAAATTTAGAAGAAAATGAAGCCATCCATACCTATTGAGGCCAGGTTTCTGAAGGTTTCCATCATCACATCTCTGTAGAGTTTCCTCTGAGAAAGATCCAGCAATGCCCACTCTTCCCGGGTAAAGTCCACAGTCACATCCTCGACAGCCACGGAGTCCTAAAACATCCCACATATTCTAGTTCAGCAACGTACCACGTACTCCAATGTGTGTGAAAGGAAGGGTGAGGCTGATAGTCCTGGGGAAATGAGATTTCATGGGGATTTGACACAGGATTCTGTGTTCTACTAAGGTCTGCTCTAGGTTTTAGCCATCAGCCTCATCCCTTCACTGTCTACATTCACTTCCTCACTGACTGCATCCTGTCTCATAGACTTAACAATCCTTCCAACACAATGGACTTCTCTCTCCAGTTTCACTGTGACCAATTCCAGTCTCATTCCTCTCTACCTTTATGGTCCAGAGCAGTCAGAACACACAGCATAAACTGGACAAATGCTCTAAAATGAAAGCACTATTTCCACATTCAGATCATCTCTTCCTTGTGAAAAAGAAAAAAAAAGTTCACCTCCTTGCACAGGACCCACCAGAATATTTAACAAAACATGAAGAACAGGGTGAAAGTGGGATGAGATACTAACAACTGGGAAACACAGCAGGGCTGGCAGTTTTTCCTTTTGGCCCGCACTGGCCATGGGAGGCCCAGTGGCCTGCAAAGGCTAGTAACCCAGGCTCCTGAGATTTTCTTAAAGAGCTTCAGGTGATCAAGAGCTGACAGGACCACCTGCTGAAAAGAGAATATTATTTTGGGGAATTACTGTTATATGTCTGTCACCTACTTTTCAATACATCTATAGTTGCACTGTCTTGCACTCTGACCCTCCATGGAGACAGGTAAGGGTACTGAAAAGGTAAACAGAGCTCAGGTGAGAGGAAACGAGAATCCAGGTATCGTCACAATTTTCAAACTTTAAGACTCAAAGCTACTGTAGAGCAATTATTAGTGACTGCTCCCCTCAACAGACACCCAGGCACCCAAAAGAACACATGCTAATGTTAAAAGATGACAAAGAGTCCAATCTCTGAAGAACCACAACAGCATGCCCTTGTGTTTGCTGACCATGAACAAGAAGATTCACATTTTTAGTAAGTTCATTGAAGTGCAGGGGATTCAGCTGTTCAAATGCTCGTGCATCCTAGGAAACAGAGCCTTACACGTCAACCCTCTAGATGCTCTACTCCAAAATTTTCTCACATCTGCAGCCCTTGGAAGGCACACAAGCATGATTACCCGAACCCTGACCACTGGCATCCTCTGAGCTGTAGGACTGGCCTCTGTGAAATAGCATCAACCTTTTGGCTGTAGAACAGATAGGCTGCGGGGTAAAGTGAGCTGTCAAGGTCATCTCTAATCAATCCTGGTATGACAGTGTCACAGCAAACTTTGATCCAGTGCCACATTCCAAAGTCTCCTCCACTGCAGTGGGCCAGGTTACATATTTTAAAGCTATCAAATATCCTAACTTCTGTTCCTACAATATATTAATGATAAAATGTGCAACTATGATACTTAAAGGGATCTGCAAAAAGTTTTTGGTACAGTAACTCATGTATTCCTCATGCCTCTCCTAAGCAGATATTGCTTCAAAGAGGTTATAGCTGAGGAAAGTTACAATTAATCACATGCTCAATACTGCCCAAATGGTATGTTGCTGAGCCAGTGTTAGAAGGCAGGTCAATGTGCCTAAGACTAAATTCCTGACAACTATATTTCTATTCATATGCCTATTGTATGCTTGTTATTCTGGCTGTTAATCCTCAATTACACGGATGATCTGAGCCCTGATGGGTAGTAGAGAGAGGAGATAAAGGAAACATACTATTCAATTCAGACAACCTGGATCTCCTTCTCCTGGCAAAACCCCATGTCTCAGGCAAGACTGCTTCCCTTCAGGCCCTTACATCTGGCTCTTCCATGTATTAAAACTGACTTAGGTAATATTGACACAGAGACTACCTCACATGGGCCAAGCAGATACAGCACTGAACAAAACAGAAATATCTGGATGCACATGGATCATAACCTTCATTGGGTGTAGGCAGTAAATAAGTGAAATAATGTCAAGTCCCCTGGGTGGCATAAATACTTAAACGTTCAAAAGACTGGAGGTTCAAAGCCACCCAGAGGTTCCTCGGAAGACAGGAAAATCTGCTCTGAGAGGTTACAGCCTTGAAAATCCTATGGAACAGTTCTACTCTGCACACACGGGGTCACTAAGAGTTGGAATTGACTCCATAGTGACTAACAATGATATAATGTCACATGGTGGTAAGTTCTATGAAAACTGCAGCACACTCGGGATAAGCAGTAACATGAGCATATTTATCTTCAGTGAGTCAGTTCAGGGAAAAGCAAAATAATCTTTTTAGGAAACACCAGCTAGTGAAGCCTGGATGTTAAGGGGAAAAAATCATACTTTCAATTCTAAAAATTTGGAAGAGCTCTGTGATAATATTGCAAATGCTCATATAGATTTCAGATGCTCACTGACTTCAACAATTCCCAACATAGAGGCACAGAAGTCAAAGGGCGCCACTGACCTTCATGGCTGGGAAAGGGAAGATACACTGGTTATACACAAAACGAAAAGGTCATTAGCAGAGGGTAAGCATGCAAATTGGGGCACGAGATAAATAAAAGCAGCATGAATAAATACTAACAAGAAAGTAAAAGAAAACAGACAATAATAAGGATACAAAACACAAACGAAGGCTTTCAATTTTGGTCCAATATGTAAAGAGCTTGCAAGTCATCACTCCCATCCTTAAGAAAAAAGCTGAACACACTGGACTCAGAGCATTGAGGTCACAGGGCAAATGACTGCCCCTGAAACTCTAGCTGAAGGCTCCTGAGAGGCACCCCAAGATAAGACAGAGTTATTGTGCAAGGTCCATTAACTCCCTTTTTTTCGTGACTAACAGCTGATCTGCTCCAGGCAACACTTTCTTAGTAACATTTTCCAGGAAGTCCAACTGCCAGAAGGCTGCACCTTGAGAACCAGCTCCAACCAGCTACCCATGCTTGCACAGAACCTGACCTTGGAACCTCCTTCCTCCAGAGGGGAGCACACTGACCAGCCCACTGTTGTACCTGGAGCCCATTCTAGAGCAAGAGGTCCATCCACCAGTATGTGTGGCCCAAGATGACTCAGCAACCAGACTCCCAAACTTGGACAGGGGAGGGGAATTCCAAGAATAAGCGGGCTAAGGGCGACCAAGGTGTAAGACCTGGAAACAGTCTCCCCATAAAAGACCCCCAAGTCCCTAGTTTGGGGAGCTCATGGTCTTCTGGTCACTAGACCCCACGTTGCTCCTTATCTGCGCAGATAATAAACTTGCCACTTTGTTTCCCTTGCAACTGGTGTCTGTCTTATTTCAGTCAGCTAATAGGACAGGACAAGAACCTGAGAGGCAGTCGGTTACACCCCCAAAACTGGAAGGACACATAGGCAGATACAGAGAATCATTCCAGAGCAGGAGCTCCGTCCAGAGCAGAAGCTCTGTCCAGAGCAGAAACCACCACTGGGATCAGGACCAGAGAAGGAAGACTTAAAGTGTTAACTGAGGAATTGCTGGAGGCTTGCTGTAGACAAGGTTCAGGGTTAAATATGGCAGGGGGCTGTCTTAGGGGGACTTACAGAGCTTTATGAATTTTATCGACATGAATGCTACCAGGTCCTCGGTGTGAAGATCAGAGAAAAATTCCCTGTGCTGCCAGTAGGGGCTGGAGGAAAAGCAGCCATCTGAAACCTGCCCAGAGCATTCTGTCTGCTTCACAAGCCATGCTCTCAAGGGAAACCGTTTTACCGGAGTTTAACAGACTGGAGCCGTGAAATACCCAACGTCAGCCCCATCCAGGCTCCCTGTCTCACCACAGTGGGAAGGGGAGAAGCAGAGAAGCACTCTGAAGTCATCACCTAGGGGTACAGGTTCACTAAATGTCTGAGACTTAATTACTGGAATGCAGAGTACTGACAGTGCTGACAATGCAAGTAGCAGTATTAGGCTATTGAGGTCACAGGGCAAACGACTGCCCCCAAAACTGGAGGGACACACAGGCAGATAAGAGAAACATTCCAGAGCAGAAGCCCAGGAGCAGAGTGCCTATGTGAGGTGCCCTGTAGCCTCAATAGTATAATTAACTGAATTCACTGAAAAGAATGATCTAAGACTTGAAAGATGCAAAGGAATCACCCAGTGATAGATGAGAAGAGACTGTTCCAGGAGGAGGAAACAGCAGAGCACAGGCCAGCAGGTGGGACTGTGCCGCGTATGTTTTAGGGAGGCCCAAACCCTAGCATGACCAGGGCAGAGTGAGATGCTGGAGAATAACAGTAGAGGAATTTGGAGAGGGGATTGGAGCCAGTGTGTATATCATGTTCCCGGGAACATGCTGACTTCTGCAAAGGCTCCGGCTTCTAATCTGAGTGAAATGCAGAGCAATTTTATCCCTTTGATCAGAGATGACAGTTCTTAAAGAATTTAAAGAAACCGTGTGGGAGGGGCAAATGTAAAAGCTGGGAGGTAAGTTAGAAGGTTATGGCCATAATCAGACAAGAAATGATGAAAATTGGAATATACAAAAAATGCACATCAAAGAACATACGTACTGAAAACATCAACACTTTTCTAGTAAAAGCAGATAAAAAACAAGGCTATTCATTATTCCATTTCTACTCAATGTTATCCTAGAGGTTGTAGCTGATACGTACCAAAAAAGAAAAAGGAAGAAAAGAAGAAAGAATCTTAAAATAAAAACCACTTCAATCTACATATTTAGGTTAAATAATTGCAAATGTAGAACCCCCAAAGATGGTACAGATTTTAGTATTGAGAATATTCAGATTACAAAATATGAAGATAAAGTTTATTTTAAATATTTCATTTATATATACTAGCACTGAGCAGTTGAGAAATTAAAAAAAATAACATTTTTAGTAAGGATAAAAGGTATCAAAAAGGAGTGATATTAATAAGAGATTCTAATGAGGAAATTATATAACATTATTAAATGACATCCAAATAGACTGAAATAAAAGAAGTCTGTCAGTTTGTTGTGCTGTGGTGGCATGGTGTTGCTGTGATACTGGAAGCTTTG